AAAATATTCCTTCTCATCTCGAGATATGCAGGGATGAGGCCAAATTGCCATCTTTACTGGTGGTCCTGGAAACCGACAAAAGGCAGAATCAATTCTTTTTTTCAACTTTTGTTAACTTTATTTATTATATTTAGATAATGATCAATGTATTTTTAATTTTAATATATTTATTAAAAATATATGGTGTTAAATATATTTATTTTTTTAATAATTTCGGTTAGATAAATAAAAAAGTTTTTCTTGTATATATAGCCATCTTTTCACTGTATCACCAGCCGACTTCCTGGAAACTTGCCTTCCACCACACTGTTTCACATCCCAACCTCACCCGGTCAATCTAGCCCCAATTGCGTCTTTTGGCTCTTCACTAAATTGCTCTATTTATACCCTTCTTCACTGCCTCTTTGAACTCGCCTGAGAACTCCAAATCATCCTCTTCAATTCAAGCAGAGAGTGTATCATCCCTCTTTCTCTTTCTCGGGTACTCACTTTCTCTTCACTCCTCTTGTGTGGGCTTTGCTTTCGTTAATGAATTTTGCTTCTGGTTCTCGAATTCCTCTTGTTTTACTTGGTTTATGCTTGTAGATCTGTTTTTGATTTCGGGTTTTTCATTTTTGTATGCTAGAGTTATGGTATGTTCTATTTAATCTTTCTTGTAGTTCATATGAATTAAATCTTAAATTGTGTTTAATTTGTTGGGTTTAGTTCGACGAGAATTTTGTAATTTAAGGTTGCAGATCTGAATTCTGGTGAATTAGTTTCTATATCACATTAAATTTTATCAAGAATGATTAATATGCTTGGTCCAGGCTGCGCTAAACACCCTCTAGTATCAAATACTACATGACAATTGAATGGTTCTTGGATCCGCTGCTCCCAATAGTTCAGTTTATTTTTCATTTTCTATTTGAGCAAATTGATAAGCTCCTAAAGAAACCTTAAGCTGCCTTAGCTGCTGCTTCTTCTTCTTCTTCTTCTTTATTATTATTATTATTATTATTATTATTAATGTTGCATTAGCTTGTTCTTTATACAATAAAAAATGTGTAAGTTTGGAAGTCCAACACCCCTTAGTACCAAATACTACATGAAGATCTCCCAAACCGACTGGACCTAACTGGTTCATTTTACTCTTCTTTTTCCATTTGGACAAATTAACAGGCATCTAGAAAAACCTTGAACTGATTAGAAAAAGTTATTTGCCTTATGTTGCCTTAGCTTCTTCTCTATACAATAAAGAAGTGCTATTTTTAGAAGTTCACACTAAACACATGCTAGTACTAAGTACTACTAAGTACTGCAGGGCAATTGGACGGTCCTAGGCCTGCCTTCTCCCAAAGGTAAAAACTTATTTTTAGTCTCTCACCTTATCTTATACTATGACGTTTTTAATTTTTCATTTATTAAAATTAATAAAAATAATTTTCATTTTGTAACATTTTATTAGTTTTGTTAATTTTGTTAATTGACTATTAATTAACTGTTAACTGTTAAAAACTTTTTTTCAGTTAACTAACTGATTTTATAATATTTCGTTAATTCTGGTAATTGATTATTAATTAATTATTAGTTGATAAAAATCTACTTTCAATTAATAGAGTTAATAATCAATATAAAATGAGTGTTATTTTCTTTGATTTTAATAAGTGAGGGGTTAAACTTACAAATCTAAAAAGGTAAGGGTTAAAAGTGTCATAATATAAGGTAAGGGTTAAAAGTGTCATAATATAAGGTAAGGGTTAAAAATATTATAGTATAAGATAAATGATTAAAACCTTCAAATTTAGTAAGGTGAGGGGTTAAATGTAGGTTTTTACCCCTCCCAAATCCCAAGCCACGCTGGACCTAACTGGTTCAAATTATTTTTCTTTTCCCAATCGGACAAATGAGTGGAAGTTTTCAGTGATCGTTCTTTTTTTTATTTTTTTGAGCAGTAATGGCAGGTGGAATGTACAGAGCTCTTTACGATAAAATAAATCAAAAGCCCCGTGATCATGTTTTTATAAACAGTTCAAGCCGTAGTATTTTGAAAGTGCCTAATCATTTACGCCAGATAAATGAAAAGGCCTATGAACCTCAAGTGATCTCCATTGGCCCTTACCACCGTGGTAAAGATCACTTGAAGGCAATGGAGGTGCAGAAAATGAACAGCCTAAAATTGGTTCTTGACCAAGGGAGAGAACACAAAGTGGAGGCATATGTGATTGCCTTGGAAGAAATGGAAAAATATGCTCGCAATTTTTATTCTGAACCTCTGGATCATATTAGTAGAGAAGAATTTGTAGAAATGATGCTTCTTGATGCATGCTTTATAATTGAGCTTATTTTCTATAGCACCACAGAGAAACTTTTCACACCTTTTATTTTGAAAAAGGTAATGCGTGATCTGCTGCTACTTGAAAATCAACTTCCTTTCTTTGTACTCTCCAAGTTGTATTCCCTGTCTGATTGTCAGCAGTTCGACGATATAGAGAACAGGAACAACATTGCCTGTATGGCAAAGGCTTTCCTCTTAACAATAGTGCCAGGACTGCCAATTATTGAACGTAGCAGCTATAAAGACGCCGAGCATCTACTGGGCTTGGTCCATTATCTCTCCTACTCTGAGGAAGAGGAAAGACCTGACCTGCCCTCCATACATGAGGAAGTGGAAACACCTCACTCGGGCTCCTCAAGCATGTCACGGGTAGTGGAAGTGGAAACACCTCACGCCAAGCGTGTCACGGGTAGTGGAAGTGGAAACACCTCACGCGGGCTCCTCAAGCATGCCACGGGTAGTGGAAGTGGAAAGACATCTCGAGGCCATACTCACATTAGAGGAAGAGGAAAGATTTGACCCGCCCCCCAGTTATGAGGAAGCGGAAAGATCTCACGCGGTCCCCATATCCAGACGCATAGGAGAAGAAGAGGAAAGCAGTCTCTGGTCAATTACTGTGCACTCCTCTGATTTGTTAGCAGCGAAGGTAATTTTTCCAAGGCCATCTAATTTAAACAAATGGCAATTCATTCGTTCTGCAACTGAGCTCAAGGAGGCTGGGGTCGAGTTCCAGAAAAACGAGGGGGATTTGTTTGATATAAAGTTTCAAAAGGGGGTGTTGTCAATTCCAACCCTAAAAATTGACGATTATACAGAGTCCATCCTTCGAAATTTGGTTGCTTATGAACAGTGCTACGCGGGCATTTCCTCAAAACGCTTCACGGATTATATTACATTCATGGATTGTCTCATCAACACAGGAAAGGACGTTGAATTACTTTGTCGCTGTGGGGTTCTTGATAATTGGTTGGGTGATAATAAAGTCGTTGCCACCATGTTTAACAGACTCCGCGACTCTGTTTTCATCTCAGAAACGAACTTCTTCTACTCCGAGATATTCAACAGAGTAAACAAACATTGCAACAGAAAGAGGAACTCGTGGAAGACCAACTTACGGCACAATTACTTTAATACTCCATGGGCGTTGATTTCCTTTATTGCTGCGGTCATTTTGCTTCTATCTACTTTGTTGCAAACTTTGTTTTCAATTCTCTCTTATCATCATTAATCAGTTTGACCATTTCTAATACAATGTTATGTATTCTGAAAAAAAAAAAAAAAATAGTAGCTTGTGTTCCTTAAAAGTCAATTTGCAAGGATGATATGTTGTTCTGTAGTTTCTTTCATTTGAATGTATAGGCTACTTGAAGTGTGACTGAAGTCGAAATCTAATGCACATTTAGAGCAGACATCATAACATCCTTAGAAATGTTGTTTGACGTCGTAATTTAAAACAATTTAAGGAACAACCTTAATGCGTGCAGACACTAAAGTTGAATTCTTCAGCTAATCATGCTTTTTTTTCTTTGTTTTTTTTTATATCAAAGGAGAAACTATATAACTAATTGAACATAATCCTTCTCTTCTCTTAATCTTATGCCACCCACCTTAGAGTTTAAATTTAATATTTTTTGATAATGTATATCATAATACACGTGTATATCGTATAGGGTTAGAAGTGTAAATATACTTCTATACATCTTGTATATATACCCTGATTATAACCTAATAAAGATTGATTCAGCCTCAATATTCTTTATGGTATCAGAGCCTTTTCTTAGCACCAAATTAATTCCAAAACCCTAGGTTTCTTATTTTGTTGTGCCTCTGCGTCAATGGATGAGTCTTCGTCTTCTTCCTCTTTGTCTCCTTCCTCTTTGTCTCCTTCCTCTACTTCTCCTATTCCCACTGGTCCTCCGTTTCTTTCTACAATTTTTGCCCCTTCCTCTCCTGTTGTGTCTGTCACGCCGTCAATCCCTATTCCTCCTACTTCTTCCTCTTTACCCACAACCCTTGCCTCTTCTGTTTTCTCTCATCCCGTTTTCTCTGTCACCAATATCCGGAATTATGTGGCAGAAACTCTTGATCACACTAATTTTTTTGTGTGGAAGGAATTGATGATTCCTGTATTGCAAAGCAAAGGCGTTTATGGTCATGTTGATGGTTCCGATTCGGGTCCCTCCCCTAACAGTCCAGATTTTGATTCCTGGATGCAGGTTGATTATCAGGTTCTGTCTTGGATTCAGGCCACTATATCAAAAGACATTCTTCAATTTATTCTTCAACCCGGTAAGCAGCTCACAGCAAAATTAGCTTGGGAATCCATTCATCAGTTGTACCAAAGCCAACTTAGTGCTACTGCACTTCAATTAACTCAAGAATTCAGTGGTATTCAGAAGCAGTCTGGCCAGAGTGTTATGGACTATTTGCAGTATGTCAAGGGGTTATCTGATCGGCTTTTCGGAATTGGTCATCCAGTATCTGATAAAGATTTAGTGCTTCGAACTATTGCTGGTCTTGATCATTCCTTTTCAGTGGCAAAGCGCACTATTCCTCAACATGTTCCCTTCCCTACTTTCTTGGAATTGCGATTGCTACTGTTGATTGAGGAAGCTAATATTTTGCAGGAATCCTCCACTAGCTCATTGATGAATGGCTCTTCTAGTTCTAGTCAATTGTTGCAACTTACTCACCCTTCTGATCTCCAGATTCATTATGCTGCTCCTTTGCAACGAGGTCGTGGTTTTGGTCGGAATAATACTTTTAGGGGAGGCCGGACTAATCGAGGTCGGGGATCTCGCGGAAGTGGTCGTACTGTCTGGAATCATCGCTCAAATTTTTCTGGCCATTCTTCTTTTGGTCGCGGCTTTGGCAATGTTGCTCATGGTGCCTCTGATTTTTCGACTGGTTATTCTGGGACTCATGGTGCTGGTTTTAATGGGTCTTTGTTTGCAAAGTCTGATGGCCAAGTGGTTGGGTTTCATTCTGCCAATAGTTCTACCCGTGCCTTACCCCCATTACTGCCAACTTCACCAACCCCTATTGCTTGTCAATGGTGTAATCGACTGGGCCATCAAGCACGTGATTGCTCTTTCTTAACTGCCAGACCTGCCTCTGCTTCCTCTGCACCCCAGTCACTATATGCAAATTTAGTTCCTGCTCCTATGGATCCCAATTGGTACTTTGACAATGGAGCTCAAACCCATGCTACCAACAATCCTGGTAAATTACTTCACTCCACTCCTTCCTCTTCCTCCAATTTTATTCAAGTTGGTAATGGTCAATTATTGCCTGTTACTTCTCATGGTAATGCTTTTCTCTTTACGTCCAACTCTCAATTTCGTCTTAATAATGTTTTGGTTGCTCCACATCTTACCAAAAATCTTGTTTCTGTTCGTCAGTTTACTCGTGATAATAATTGTAGTGTTAACTTTGATTCATTTGGTTTTTCTATTAAGGACAACAAGACGAAGAACGTCCTCCTTCGTTGGAATAGTCCGGATGGCTTGTATTCATTTTCTAGTGGTTCCTTCCCCAGTTATCCTGCTGTCTATTCTGTTTCGCATTCTCCTGATGTGTGGCATTGTCGTCTTGGTCATCCGGGCATCACTTCTATTCAACACCTTGCTAGACGTGGTCTTCTTCCAATTGAAAGAGTTACTTTGCCACCACGTTTATGTCATGCATGTCAGCTTGGGAAACATGTTCGTCTTCCCTTTTCTGAGTCTTGTTCTTTTGCTACTAAACCATTTGAGTTGATTCATTCCGATGTTTGGACATCACCTACATTGTCTTTTTCCGGAATTAAATATTATTTGTTATTTTTGGATGAATATAGTCATTATTTATGGGTTTATCCTTTGTCATCTAAGGCTCAAGTGTTTGATTCTTTTCTTAAATTTTCTACTTTTGTGTCTACTCAATTTGGTGCTAAGATCAAAGCTTTGCCATGTGATAATGGTCGTGAATTTGATAACTCTCAATTTGCATCCTACTTTCATACTCATGGAATTCATCTTCGTTCTTCGTGTCCCTCAACTCCCCAACAAAATGGGAAAGCTGAGCGCATGAATAGAACAATCATGAACATGGTTCGTTCTTTACTTTTTCAAGCAAACTTGCCTGGTAAATTTTGGGTGGAAGCTATTTATGTAGCTGTTCATCTTCTAAATATATTACCTACTTCCAGGCTACATTTTCTTACTCCTCATGAGGTGTTTTTCGGTTCCCCACCGAAATATGATCACTTGAGAACATTTGGTTGTGCTTGCTATCCTAATATGTCTGCCACTACCCCACATAAATTAGCTCCTCGCTTTACCTTATGTATTTTTCTAGGCTACCCGGCTCATCATAAGGGTTATCGCTGTCTTGATTTGGCAACCAATAAGATTATTATCTCGAGGCATGTTGTTTTTTATGAAACCTCTTTTCCCTACACCTACACTGCCCCGGTGTCTTCACCACTTCCCCATTTTCGCAGCCCATTTCACCTCATGGATTTCCCTCCCATTAAGCCCATTTCTAAATCTTCCTTGGCCCAAAACCATGACCTGCCTGTGTCTACTACCTCCCTCAGTCCATTCTACCTTCTTCTCCATCATTGCCGGCCTCTCCTAAGTCAATCCCTAATACTGTATCATCCTCTTCTCCTTCCTTGTCCTTACCATCTCTTTTCTTCCTCCACGGCTTTGCCCTCTTTACCACCATCGAAGTTTTCCCCTTCTTCCACAGATTCCCCTCATCCTCTTGTCGAACTCCCTGCCTCCCATGCTACCCCTTCCATGGCTTCTTGTTCACTTCCCCTGTCCCCTGCCTCTTCGCTCCCACCTTCCTTGCAGCCTCCTCGGCATATCCATCCTATGATTACCAGGTCTCAAGTTGGCACTCGAAAGCCTCAGGTTCTGCCATCCTTGCTTGCTACCGGAGCTGCAATCAGGGAACCAAAAACCTTTAAAGAAGCTTGTCAATTCTTCGAATGGCGTTCTGCAATGGTGGATGAGTTCTCAGCTTTGCTAAAGAATAACACTTGGTCTC